TGTTCCATTGCTGCATTGTTTGCTAGAGTTGTGGGAAACAATTTAGCTGCTGATGCACGGAGTGTCATAACACAGGGAGTTCCTGAGTAAATGTCCCCGCTGGAATGGACAGATCAAATATTAAGTACTTCTCTAAAGCACTTCTCGGATTTTGTGGTGGAAGGGGGAAACCTGTGGAAAGAAAAACTGTCTGCTCAGCCACTTGCTGAGAAACTGAGGGTTCCGCAATATGCAAGCTGCATTATTGGCATCCAGACATCTTAATTGCTTAGCACGGGCTTGCTCGCTTCTGTTTCTAAAAAGTCACTATATTGATGAGGGGTGGACTTCTTAAATTGCTTATTTTAGTTTATTATTATTATTTTTAAATATCCTCCTAACTTCAAGTTCTTGTTTAACTCAATTTAAGATCTTTTTATCCTCTGCTGCTGGGATGATACCTCTGTATCCTGCTGCTGGCTTCTAACCCATTTTTTCTGCTGAGCCAAGATGCTGCAGTCAAGGGGGAAAAATACTCCTGAGGAGTTGTCTGAGCCAATTCTGCACCCTGGGAAGCTGAAAAGCTTGCTTTCCCTTGTAGTGCATTAAAAAGCTTTGTTATAATCCCACTACTGTTGTGGCCAAATAAACACTTTTAAAATGTGGTTTATAACTTGACACTCTTTCTTTGCAGAAACAGTGTTTCCGGACCAAAGCGACTTCGAATATGGTAAGATTTATGTTGTTTATTCATTTCAAAGACCAAAGCCATATGAGTGTTGTATTTCTACTGATAGCATTCTTTAAATACACAATAAATTCCTATAAGTGTTTCGTGTGTGGTTTTTGTTCCTTTTAGATTATGAGACGTTGCGGACAACAGGGGTTATCCTTGCTGTCATTATGTTTGTCTCTGGCATATTAATAGCCCTGAGTAAGTTTAGACTTTAAAATATCTGTAAAAACATATGTAATGCAAAGGCTTAATAACATATATCAATATAAAAGTATTGTTTTGGTAACTCATCTATCATTCCTCAAACAGGTAAAAAATTCACAAAATGTGTAAAATCCTCATCCAAGTAAGAGTTTAGCAGATGATCCCCCTGTGCATGTTGTATGAATTTGCCATCTTTTTTAAATTGAAAAAAAAAAAATCCTACATTTTCCCCCCTATCCCTGCACTGGATGCCTCTTCTCAAAATGCCCCTATTCTGCTCTTTGCACACACACTTCCAACACATTTATGAGATTACACAGTTGTGGCAAATCACATGCGCATAGTAAGCATTTCTGAATGGACGCATCACACTCTTCCTGTGTTGGTAGTGAATGGGCAGTGTCGATTCTCAGATTGTTGCATGCTGCTTGTATAGTAAGACTGGAAGAAAGGCGAGGGCTGCTGTTTAAATGGGGCAAAAGCTGCATATTGGTCTATAGTTACACTTAGAAGCCTGTGGCTTCAACTGCATCTAGATCTACTTGATATTGCAACCCCGATAATGGAAACACGTCAAGTTGAAGTTGTTGCCACAGTATTCGAACCGCACGAGTATGTTTTTATTGGAATTATTGATGAATTTAATTTTGAAGTCACCTCTTGACTAATTTCCTCCTTCGTTTTTCTAATTGCAGTTCCAGCTCATCTGGTACTCAAATCCCAAAGACAGAAGGTAATTTCATTTATCTAGATGGAACTGTTTAGAGTGACTGTGTGCGCTAAAACTTTGCTATTTTTCCATTATTCTCTCTGACTTATTTCCTTTTCTTTTGCAGTACCTCCTCCAACTGTATAGGCATCACAGCACAAGCTTGAAAAAGAAAAAAAAAACAGAAGCCCATGCTAGCAAATAGATACAAGTAGATCAGCTGTGTTGGTGGCCACTCCTCTTATGAAGAACATACCTCTGATGGGTGATTGATAAACAGGGTTTTCTTATACAACCTGACCTCATCTCATATTATTTGGCAAAGCTGCAAAACATCTGTCTGTAGATTACTCTGTGTAGTGTTTAAGATGAAAAAGAAATGACAAGGACACTCAACAATGTTCACATCAAACACAGGAAACGGGTGTGGTTTCTCTTCTACATCTTTTACTGTTGTAAAACAATAAAATCAAGAGCATGATTACAAAATTAGAAATGTGTCCATCATGTGTACAGCAAATGAAACTGCATTCATTGAGCCAGTTTAACAGTCGTCTTTATGATTTACTCTTTTTTTTTCCCCTGCGCAGGATCTTTCAAACAGCAGATCCAGCTGGTAAACCAATCGATGGAAAAACCAAATCATAACAAATCAAAATTTGCAAAATGAAATAAATGAAAAGCCAACATTCATTTTGAGGTTACCTTTACAAATATAACAGAGCTGATTCAGTTCTAAAGCAACAGTATTCAATTCCCTGTAAAGGCTAAAAGGGAGACTACTTTCAAATGGATCCCATCTACTCTTGTTATAAGAATGTCAGAAATTATTCTCATGTGAAGCAAGAGTGTAGAAAATGAAAAGCATGTTCATGAGAAATGTTATGTGGTTTTGTTGTGAGATTTCCTTTGTGCTTTACAGGAATTTACAGCGTGTCTAATATAAAGGATGACACATAAGTGAGAGGCTTACTTGTCACTCAGATTACACTCATTTAATCTGTGATTAAGTTTCACTGTCATTGCAGTAAAGGTTGGTTGAAATTGGCCTTGAAAAATAAATACTGTGTGAGTGTAAACAAAAGTGCAAGCTTCTTATGTCTTATGTATTTTCCATGCTGCTAATTTCTGAAGCTGAATGTAAACGGGACTGTTCAAAGGGTACCCCGAAGATCAAAAGAACCTGATGGAATTTAAGCACTGTTATCGTCCTCGCACTCATGACTCATGAGTAAAAAGTACAGTCAGTCAGACAATTTGTCACCACACTTACTCATGTAATGCCTCTTCGACAAAGAAAAAAAAAAACATATTGTCTGTTACAATCATTTTTAAAAACATAGAGGTTTTACCCATAAAGTTTCCTTTTCCACAAAGGAAAGTGCACCTGAGGTTACACAAATATGTATGATGCATACAGAAAGAAGGTTCAATCGTACAACAGATTATTCTCATTCCAAACACACATAAAGCACACATACTGATTGATATGACAACCATCACTCATTGTATCATTATGATAATATTTCAACGAGGGGGATTTGAGATAACAAGAGGTCTTTCAGGGACATTGTCCTGGAGCTTATTTTCACGATTTCACAGAAATCAACATAAAACTGGGAGTTTAGCCTAACAGAAAAATAAATATTACTCCACCTTCGACTACTACTTTTTTTCAATAACTAATGCTAATGTTTTGTAGTTCTGTTGTTTCATTGCAAAATGTTTAAAAAAAATAAATATGTTACTTAAAAACTTTCAAATGCATGCCTGATTTCTAGCAACAGCGTTTCGTGGAAAAGTCTTCACAGAGATATCACATTTCGGAATGAAATCCTTTACTCACAGAGGAATACTTCTGCCTAAGAGTAGTAAATAAATAAAACACTACAGTTTTACAGAAACTAAATACCAAGCAAATTTGAAGCTTTGGAATTAAAGCATCCTTTGTCTATTGCAATGTGAATTACACAGCATTTGGAGATTTATGTACCAAAGTAATCTTGTTTACTCATCAATATATAGGCTGGATACTCCCAGAGTGTCATCAAAATAAAACGTAAACCCCCCTTCTCAACAGAGGAACTATCTTAAAGACATATTCCCTCCAAAATGGGACTACAAATGATCTGAGTTATTCCTGGTCCTGCAAGGACACGATACGTCGACGAGAGGAGGCACTTCGTTTCTTCAGCATGAGCTTGAGCTACAAGTTAGGAGATAAATTAATATAAGTAAACTGAAAAATCAAGTCAATCACAAAAAAAAGAAAGAAAAAAAAAAGTGAAGATATGGGTGATTACCTGTTCTCCCAGCAGGCCGCTCTGCAGCAGGTGAGCTGGCTGGTCATTCTCCAGATTGCGGATGCTGGGATCAGCTCCTTTGCTCAGCAGCAACTGCAGGATCACCTCCTGGTGGAGGTTACCATGGAGACCGGCTGCCATGTGTAAAGCTGTGTGGCCGTGAGCCTGTGGGGGGAAAAAAAATATAGAAGCCGCATAACTCGGACTGTTCACAGACAGCTATAGCTGTACGCTTACACATTATGTATTTGCGCATAAACACGTGTGTGCATAAAATTCTGCTCGGAGTTTCTTGTCAGTGTGGGACTCACTTTCATATTGACAAAGTCTTTCATGTTCGGCAGGGGAATGCTCAGCAGATAACGCACCAGATCAATGTTCCCCTCCTTCACAGCCAAATGCAGCACAGTCTTGTTACTTTTGATTTCCTGGAATTGGAGAATTGGAAGTAATGGGAGAGACATAATGAAACCACAAGTCAGACTAGAACCGCTAAAAAGCGTCAAGCAACAAGGAGAAAACAAAAGAGAGAACAAAGAGGGGAATGGTTGGCAGCATGACAACATCTTGGTTAGATAAAACCCCAGGTAGCTGAAAATTCTGCCTTGAAGTACAGGCCTTACTGTGTTGAACTTCACAGTTGACCTACCTGACTGAGAAGGGATGCCCCTGCACCAAGTAGCATCTGCACACAGGAGAGCTTCTCCATAGCTTTGGTCTGAAGATTAACATCTGCATGCCCATTGGTAGACAAAGCCTTCACCGTGACACTGTGAGAAATGGCTGCACAGTGCAGAGGGGTCATCCCTGAGACACAGAAAAATATATATCTTTTAGGGGTTCCAGTAAATATGTTTGAGTTGGAGCTAAAAGCTAAGATGTTATTTTACCTTCAAAATTGCGGGCCTCCAGGTTGACGGCCGGCCTGCTCGACAGAATCGCCTGCAGAAACAGATCGCTGATTAGATCTCCTCACTCTTATCTTTGCTTGTTTTGTTTTATTAAGTCATGCCAAAGTCATTTAGTAGTTACTGTAGCTTTACCCGCAGAACCCCTGGGAATCCATAGTGGGAAGCCAGATGAAGAGCGGTTTGTCCATTAACGTCACAGGCGTTGATCTCCGCTCCCAAAGACAGCAGATCTTGGACAATTTCTGCCTGGTTTGCCGTCACTGCCACCAGTAAAGCAGTCTGCACAAGCACAGGTAGTATACACATGTATTTTAAGAGACCATGTCAACAACAATCAAACTGAATGATGTTTTTTTTGTTCATACCTTTCCCTTGTGTTCTTTTGCATCAAGTCTCCCTATATCCCTCAGCCTCTCCGCAGCAGCATAGGCACACTCTCTCAGTCCCTTGGCAGTGTAGATGTGCAGGATGCTGATAGAGAAAGAACACATCACAAATTAGTTATGAATGAGGCTACATAATTGTGGTAATCCCCACAGCCAATTTCACTCTATTTTCTCTCACGAGTTCACTTGTGACAAGGAATAGAATTTGTAAGATTGTAATTGTCACTGAGCATGAGTGGCTGACTCATTTTCATATTTAGTTTTTTTTTTTTTTATTCATCTGTCTAGGAATACCAAATGGGTTCTCACTTTGAGCTCACGACTGAAAACGAAACTGTAGGAAAGTAAATAAATTGTGTACTTGTGTTCAAAGAGTGCAATAAAGTTATCAGCGGGGGTTTGTGAACACGCACTGCATTGCAAAATATCTAGAAGAATTAACACTTACTTGTATTGTAATGTTTGTAATGCAGGCTAGAACTTAAAATTGAAACCTCAGTCCACATTTCCCACTGGCAAATTGACTTTTATTCTCTGCTTTAAATCTCAATAGCCGGTATAAACCAAACACTCTCCGCTAACACACTCATGATCACTCACGTGTCTCCGTCTTCATCCTGGCAGGTAGTTCTGCTGTAGTCCATCCTGCTAAGCAGCATCCTGGCTTCCTCGAGCTTGGTGGTATCCATTGTTGAACTGAAAGTCAGCTGTGTGGTCTGGCTTGGGTCCAGAAGTGACCAGGAAGAATCTGAGAGAGCCCCCAGGCAGTCCTGTGCAAAGGAATGCAGATTTTACTCAACAAACTCAAGA